TATATATGTATATATATATATATGTATATATTAGTGCTCATTTGTGACTCTCTAGAGCCCTCACAATTCACCCCCAATAGAAGTCATTTGGCCGTAACACACAAAAAATTATTTAGGTTTTAATTTCTTATAAAGTTTATTTTTGACAAAAAATGGCACTAAAGGGGTTAAATCTCAAAAACACTTAATTTTATTTTGTTTTGTGAGGACCGAAGCTAAGGAAAAATCTGTGTGTAAAAATAAATAGAACTTTTGAAATATTATATAAATTTTATTAAACATTTTGCTGAAATGCATTTTTCCGTGTGAGGGACCTGAATGTGAGTTTTTATGAATATCTGACACTACACATAAAATACAAAGAGAACCAAAGTATTTTTTTGCTCATTTGTGACTCTCCAAAGCCCTCACAATTCAGCCCCAAAAGAAGTGATGTGGACATAACACACACAAAATAATTTATTTTTTTATACTGTTGATTTTTTTTGACAAAACATGACACTAAAGAGGTAAAATCTCAAAAACACTCAATTATTTTACTATGTTTGGATAGGACTGAAGCTAAGGAAAGAATCTGTGAAAAAATGTTTTGACTTTAGAAATATTATATTTTTTTATTATACATTTTGCTAAAATGCATTTTTTTTTGTGCGAGGGTCCCCAGTTGAGCTTTTTTTAAGGAACCTTAAAGGGTTAAAGGGACATGAACATTGCCAACCTACACACATCTTTTTATTTTTTATTACCAAATTTATTGACATGTGAAAAATTATATTGGTTAGAGACAGAAATTGATGGTCTTGTTGAGTGACCATCAAGTTCTTAATAAACTCCCTCGAAATGGGGTTAAATTTCCATTTATGCAAACAATGTTTCAATCATTCAGTGATTTACTAATGTTTAGCCTCAGAATGTCCACAGGTGTCATAAAAACTGTTCTTGCTGGTACTGCTAATGTCATGAAACCGTTTTAGATTACTGCCATTGACTAACTATGAACTAATTAATTCTAAAGTAACATAAAGCATTGTAGTAAAACCAGACAGTAAGAAATGAGGGCCAAGCCTCAGATGTTATTAGTTCAAACCTGGTCTCTGAGGTGCTGGACAGACTTCTGCAAGGCCAGGATCTGGTGGAAGAGAGGGCTTTGAAGCACTGATTTCAGCAGGCTGAGCTTCTCCTCAGTGGGCACCTCTCCCCGCTCCTTCAGTTTGGCCTGGAGACGCTCCACCGCCTGCAAGGCACGCTGTGTATCTGCGAGCCGTCGCATATTTCAGTGACAGTGCCGGCCGGGGGAAAGCAGCAGGCGTGGGAGAGACAGGACTTCATTAGAAGAGAGATTGTGAAGCTGGGAGGGAAATTGACATGATTTCATGCATACTTTTTAATATCTTGAATGTCATGCTTTATTTGAACGCACAGCATTTCGTGACAGTTTGGTTTTTTTATGTTTAACAACGATTTGTGAATGAAACTCCCCGAGGGAAGGGAGCTACATATCACAACCAAAGCTTAGCTAAGGCTGATTGGTGCTCAACAGACCTTACCGTATCAAAATCAGGTTTTGCTCTATAGTAAAAACTCAATTTTCACTGCTCTGTTTGTTTTCAGAAAAGCCTGTTTCCTTTTCTGGCTGTTAGGGTCAATGGTGGCTTGAACGGGAGTAGCTATCAGCAAGAAGAGATAAGACAAGCCAGCCCTTCACTGTTTGCTTGCTGGACCCTACATAAGCCCCCTCACAATCAAGCAAGTCCAGAGTGACTTGTTAGTGAGGAAGGGGCAACCCACACATCTTCTGGGCAAAAATGAAGCAATTTCTGAAGCTAGCCAACCATGACTAACACCTAACAGGCCATACACATGGTCCATAGCATTTGTTTCTTTTCTTTTCTCTTCTTTTTTTCTTTGTTTTCAAACTGAGGAGCCTGGTTGTTTCAACAAAGACTGCAAACAGGCCAATAACACTTGAGCCTCAGCATATTTTGTTTCTTCTTGCTACTGGTTCTGTGCACGTAACTGTCATTTTCATTGCCATTGCTTCAGTGTGGATAATGAAGAGTTCTATCAGACCGTGACATGTAGCCCTTGTGCATTTCATTTGCACTTGAATATCTTAAACACAGTTTAGTCCCAAAACAAGGCGAATAAATATTATTCTTCCAGATTATTGGTGAGATTAATTTCTTGATTACATGATTTTTATATTTTAGATATGTCTTACGATGTGGGCTGGAGCTAGGGCTGGGGGTAAACGATTATTTTTAAAACGATTATTCTGACGATTATTTTATCGAATAGTCGACTATTCTAATGACTATTTAGGCGATTAATCTAGCGATTATTTTTCTATTGCACAGTTAACAAAAACCAGAAAATCTCAAATAAATTCCTCAAAGTATTGATAAATTGTTACTGTAAGAGAATAAACACTATGGGCCTTCCATTTTGTAACACTGATTTTATTGTGTTGGTTGGTTATGTTCTGGTGACGTGTAGAACTTGGGAGTGCAGGCTGCTGCCTGACAGGTGGTAGAAGATGGAGTGTCTCCATGCTGCTTTGTTTTGGTCACTTATGTGTGTGAGGTGAGTGGTGTTACGACTCTTCCTGGGGAGTTTGGCTCGTGTGCAAAAAATAATTAAGGGACAATAACACGGGATTTAAAAGTTAAAATGATGATCAGGTTTATATACAACAACAAAAAAACATAAATCTTTCCATCCACAGGTTGGGAATAATAAAACTAATTCTGCCTGTGGGGAATTAAAACAAAAGTACAAATAACTAGGGATGTCCCACTGGGCAAAGATTACTGGGTTCTGGACCAAAATGAGGATCTCCAAAAGTCCAAACTCTAAACTGGGTGGTTAAACCAAACTCAAGGTGATATTTTAAACTAAACCGAAAACCCACGACACTCTAAATGTAATAAAAGGGAGATCTGCACCACAAAAAAGATGAACTCTAAACCAAAACGTAACAACTTATCCAAACGCAAGAAGCTGTTAGCGAAGATGCTAACAGTAGCTTTACCAACGTTAAGTTCAAGTTACCTAAATAAACCAAAAGCACCCAGCAAACAGGCCAGCACGGAGGAGAGACCGCTACCACCAAAACAGCTCTCCTAATGTCTGATTGAAGCTCCTTTATGAAGGGAGAAACGCTCCCGGTGATTTTCATCATCTGCAATAGAGACAAAGCAGCGCATCTGACCCCGGAAGTTGTTGTCCATTGCCAGGAGACGAAGGTGGGCAAAACAGGAAAGGAATCTAGTAGCAGACGGACATTGTTCCGGGTCTACGGTATTTGGCAGAGATGTTAGTGAAGGCGGAGAAGAGGGTGAACGAGAGGGAAAACAGGCAGATTCCTCCTCTATTTACAAACTCCTGGGGATGCAACAAGTGGGCGTGGTGCGTCGACTACCGGATCTGACGTCGATGACTTTTTAGAATCGAGCCGTTGACATCATCGACGCTTCGCTACAGCTCTAGCTGGAGCTTTATTTTGGTAGCCTAGAAATCTAGACAGACAGTAGTCAAAGCAAAATTACTTTCTTCTCCATGTTAGTCTAGCCATGCTTCATTGAAGTCTGAGCAGGTCTTCCATTGGTCCAATCAGTGTAGTGTTATGCCAATCACGGTGCTGTATTGGTTTGGTGGGCAGGATGATGTGATGGAGAGGTACAACTAAGATCGCTTTGGCTTGTTTCAAACAGCTTTAGCATCAACTTTGGCCTTTGTAGACTTGGGCTTTTTTTTAGACAAGAGCAGATAGAGGTACTTAAGTGCTTTATTTAGAAAAAGGGTGTATTTGTGTCTTCTTCGACAGTGTATGGAGGACCGCCTGTTGAATGACATCCGTAGTGGTGAGTATGTCATTGTCCAATAGCATGTGGAGACAGTTTGAAAGAAAATCATAGATTATACCCCATGACTGAGATCTGTGTATGGGTCGTGGCCACTGCAGTTTTGAACTATGAATCATTGAAAATATTAAATATAGATAAAAAACACAACTTACCCATTGTTTCTATCATTTTCAGACCCTCGAGGGAACTTGAATTCTTCTCCTTTTTCAAGGCCTGAAAATAACCATTACAATAAATTAGCAATTAAATGACTGACCAATGGGGGAACAATTCACACGTTTGTCACTTCCAGAGGGTAAACAGAAAACAGGAAGTGGGAACAAAAACTTCCCAAACACTCAAAAACAAATTCACCTCCTCAGTCTGGATAATGTTTATCTCTTCAGAATACATCCTAATAAACATTCTGTTCAAGAACACTTCCATTGTAGTCCGTTAGCTCCTTTTATATTAGACCAATCATTTTACAGATGAATTACTGCAAAGTATTATAAATTCCTGGTACTACATTCATCAGTGGGCTCTGGGCTTTAAAATATATTGAGTGTGCAAATTCATTCAACACTGTTACTGGTGTGCATTAGTATTAATATTAATATTTCCCTTCCCAACAGAACATTCTCTTATATTGTGTAATCATGTGCAAGCATGTGGCTTATCAGTTATTTGGAAACTAGGAGTACCATTCTTTTGTAATATTGTCAGCGTACAATTCATGATTTTGCTGTAAGTGTTTGGCGAGTGACTACAGCTGGATATGTATTGAATGGAGCTCAAATACCACATATGTAAGGTTCAGGGCTGAGAAAACTTTTTTACGTCACAAAAACTCCCTAAAAACTTCTTAAATCAGTTCATTATTAACTGTTTTCTAAATGTTGAAACCAGCATTAGCCATGGATAAAACAGTTCCTCAAAACATACATGATCAAGAAATAGTCAACCTACAGCATCAGGGCTCTTCACACTGAGATGCCAAGTAACCATAACAACCATATCATGGTATTATTATGAACCTCACTTACAACTACATTGTTTAAAAATGGAATGCACAATATCAATTTCCGTATTATTGGGGTTCTTTTTTTAAATGTTTTTCTTATTTTTATATTCTCCCTGTGTTTTATTGATTTTTAGCTGTTAGTTCTAGGGCGACGGTGGCACAGGAGTTAAGTGCTCGCCCCGTAATCGGAAGGTTGCAGGTTCGAGCCCCACTCAGTCTGTCGCTGTCGTTGTGTCCTTGGGCAAGACACTTAACCCACGTTGCCTGCTGGTGGTGGTCGGAGGGACCGGTGGCGCCAGTGCTCGGCAGCCTCGCCTCTGTCAGTGCGCCCCAGGGCAGCTGTGGCTACATTGTCACTCATCCCCACCAGTGTGTGAATGTGTGTGTGAATGACTGATTGTGTTGTAAAGCGCCTTGGGGGGTTCCAGGACTCTAGAAGGCACTAAATCAAATACAGGCCATTTACCATTTAAATTTTGTTGTTTTTCCTTTTTATCTTTTATCTCTGTTCTACATGACTGTCTGACGCTGGTTTAATTAACTAACATTTTTAGTGTACAGCGCCTTGTTTGGTTGTAATGCCTTGTTGAATGCGCTTTATAAATAAAATGGTATGGTATGGTATTGGAGGTGCAAACACACCACTGGTGTTCCAGTTTATGTTTTATGAGCTCAAAGCTTTCACTCTTTAGTATATACAATTTACCATAAAACGTTTAGCTGACGTATATAAATGTCATAGCAAAATAAAACCCTACACATTTAGATAACATTTTAAAACACAATATAATGTTTTAGCTTAAAAATTAAATTGTTTAACTCAAATCAATTTGAGAAAAACAAAATAATTTTATATTGATGTCCATTTACCTACATACTGTCTTACTTATGTCTAGATTATCAAAATATACTCTAAATATCTATTTTTAGCACTTTTCTCAGGAAGTTTTGATGTCTTTGGACCTCTAACAACATGGCAAAGATTCTTGCAAGGCATTTTGGGTAGCATATGACCACATAATGACTATTAGTCCTTTTGCTTGGATGTTTTCCTTCTTCTACCTCATTTCTGAAGGCTATTGCTGCTGTTGACTTTTGACAAATCCTGTTGAGGAGTGATGACAACTCCCACAGAGGGAATGCCATAACTAACCTAAGAAGTGGTTTGGTTACAAGCAGATCATGACTCACAGAGACAACACGGGTAAATGGAGATCGGCCCAACAATTGAAAATCTTTAAAAAGTCTCAAAATAGTTTGTGGTGAGCACTTCATGTTGAAGCATGAGGGTATGTTTGATTCATAATGGATTGTTTGTATCATGTGTGAGTGAGTAAGAACTGTGTTGGAGTAGCAACAAAAAAGAAACAGCAATCACAACACAGCAAGCAGTTTGAAAAAGTTAGGACTTTAGTAGGAAAAACAAGTTTTCTGCTTGTCATTTTATAACCAAAATACGTAAGTAACTTACTCAGATTTTATTAGTGGCATCTGGTAACACTTTAAAATAAGGGTCCCTTTATTAATGTTGGTTAGTGCATTATTAAGCATTAATAGACAAAGACTCCCTGTGTTATAGTAACCGTTATTGTTAACTATTTAGTGTCCTTAAGGTTAGGACAAAGGGCAAGGGGAGATGTCTGCTTGGTAATGCATTACATAATTTGGTTAAGCGGTTGTTAATACTTAATCAGTTTATTAATGCTTAATAATGCACTAAGTAACGTTAATAAAGGGACCCTTATTGTAAAGTGTTCCCCGACACTTATTTCAAGACTTGAGTAGATACCTGCACTGGTAACTTTAGTTGTATGTGGGTAAAATGTCCTCAGAGTAGTTAAACTTGGTGGATGTTATCTGGCCTAAATGCCTGAAAATATTTCTTTTGTTTTATGTTTTAAGTAGGGCCGGGACTTTAACGCGTTAATTACAATTAATTAATTAGAAAAAAATAACGCGTTAAAAAAATTAACGCATTTAATCGCAGCTTGCATTTCAAGCACGGTGGAACCTTTGTCATTGCACAATTTCCTCGTAGACTGAATATCACTGACGCACACAACAATGCGAAGTTCTAATGGCTACTAAAACGGAATAAAAACAGAAAGAAGTTGCCTTGCTTGGACTGATGCAGGATTTAGGAAACACGTCCGCCTCTTTTCTTAACTTGGAAAAAAAAAACTTCCAGACAACAACGGAGTCCGTGTCGTGGACATTTTTCAGAGATCGTCTCTGCTGCGGCTGCCCGGTGGCACCGGAAACTTTACAAAAGTTGCGGTAAGCTATATTTTTTAACATTTACGTAACATCTGTGCAGCGCTGAAAGCACCAGACAGAATAATTCTTTGCCCTAACAGTAGTTTATGAAAGTAGTCAGACAAACGAGAGGCACCTGGCTGCCGCTGGGAGAACGCTCCGTGTTCTCACTACTCTGTAAACAATCACAGACAACGTGTCTTAAAGTTGAAAACAGAAGTTTAAGTTAAAACAGAAACACTCTGAAACTTGTCTGATGATTTTCTAAACAATTCTGCCGGTGAATTATATGTTTCTGAGACGAGTCACTGTCTAAACATCATCACATGCATTACTATCATTAAGCAGCGAGGTGCGTTGAAGCTGTCATCAGCTAAGGGGCGGATGCTTAAGTGTATCAGGGGCAGCGAGGAACGAGGAAGTTGTGATCAGGCTGGAGATCACACCAGACTCGCTGCAGCAGGCGTGAATCTGCGGGTCTGCAGCACCCCCTTCTTAATGTGACATCAGGACTTCCCATGTAAGGAAGGTCCGCTCACCTGTTCATCAGATCATTATTTCCTCGCCATGATCTTTTATCTTCCCATCATCCTCCAGTCATCCAACTGGAACCAGTTAGTGTTCCTGATTATTCTCAGAATATGCCACGCCTGCTCTGGTGTTAAAAGTTAGTACATTTAAGTCCTAGATCATATTTGTGCCTGTTCTACTTTCATTTAGAAGGATTATTATTTATGTGTGTTTTTACTGCATTATGAGTAGAAATGCTAATAAAAACTCCCAATTATACAAACAAGTGAAACTGGAAAAGTTAGAATCTGGTGCAAAGTCAAATTTATTTCAGTCATTCAACTAGACAGAGAGACTATTTAAAGGCTCAGGAACCCTTTGAATAAATAAAATGCATTTTTTTTATTAAAAGCTTTAGTTTACAGTAATAACCATGTCTAATGTTTGATTCTGTCTCATAATTTTAATTAAAAGTTTTACTTTGAGAGCACATTTTCCTGAACGATTAAAATGCGATTAATTTAGATTAATTACAAAGCCTGTAATTAATTAGATTAAAAATTTTAATCAAGTCCCAGCCCTAATTTTAAAATAATCGTTTTATTTCACAGTTCAGCAATTTTCAAAATAGCAAACTAAATCTGTAGTTAAAAATCTACAAAAACTAAAGTGAAAATGTTTTTATTTTTACATTTCAGTCACACTTAGTGTTGGATTGAACATTATTTAAGAGGCTAAAGCTAAACTTTAAAATACGATAAATCCCCCAGAATTTATGGCATTCATTTGCAACTAGAAAACAACAGATGAGGGTTTGTCTAGTGAAAATGTCTGTATTATGTTCTTATTTGAATCCAGACAGTGAAGGCAGTGTAACAGACCCATGTAATGTGTGCATACAGTAGGGCTGGGGGTAAACGATTATTTTTAAAACGATTATTCTGACGATTATTTTATCGAATAGTCGACTATTCTAATGACTATTTAGAAAATTAATCTAATGATTATTTTTCTATTGCACAATTAACAAAAACCAGAAAATCTCAAATAAATTCCTCAAACAAATTGATTAATTCTTACTGTAAGAGAATAAACACTACAGGCCTTCCATTTTGTATAACACTGCTTTTATTGTGTTGCGGCTGGTTATGTTCTGGTGACGTGTAGAACTTGGGAGTGCAGGCTGCTGCCTGAGAGGTGGTTGGAGACGGTGTCTCCATGCTGCTTTGTTTTGGTCACTTATGAGCGTGAGGCGAGTGGTGTTACGATCCTTCCTGGGGAGTTTGGCTCGTGTGCAAAAAGGAAGGGACAATAACGGGATTTAAAAGTTAAAATGATGATCAGGTTTATTTACAACAACAAAAATCATAAATCTTTCCATCCACAGGTTGGGAATAATCAAACTAATTCTGCCTGTGGGGAATTAAAACAAAGTACAAATAAGTAGGGATGTCCCACTGGGCAAAGATTACAGGGTTCTGGACCAAAATAAGGATCTCCAAAGGTCCAAACTCTAAACTGGGTGGTTAAACCAAACTCAGGTGATATTTTACACTAAACCGAAAACCCACTAGCCTAGTGAACTAGACCAAATTCTTGCTTTGCAAAGAATGGTCTAGGCATGCTCCATTGGAACCTCAGCAGCTCCTGCCAGGACTCTGGCTGGCCAATCACAGCTCTCTAGAGGGGTTTCAAACACATAAAGAGCTGTGATTGGTCCCTAATGGTGGGCCAATCATAGTGCTCTATCTGCTTAGTGAACAAATCAAAGAGCTGTATCCGCTTTGTAGGCCAATCAGGGCACTCTATATGCCTGGTGGGTGGGATGATGCAACAGAGTGAAACAAGAGTATGTCACATTCATTGTCCAGTGGAATGCGGAGATCATTTGAAAGACAACGGTAGAACCCGCCCCACAACCGAGAGCCGTCAATGGAGCATGGCCAGACTAAATAATACATTTATTTAGTCTGGCTTGCCAGGCTAAAAACCCACAACACTCTAAATGTAATAAAAGGGAGATCTGCACCTAAAAAAGGATGAACTCTAAACCAAAACGTAACAGCTCATCCAAACGCAAGAAGCTGTTAGCGAAGATGCTAACAGTAGCTTTACCAACGTTAAGTTCAAGTTACCAAGTTTAAATAAACCAAAAACACCCAGCAGCAAACAGACCAGCACGGAGGAGAGACTGCTACCACCAAAACAGCTCTCCTAATGTCTGAAAGAAGCTCCTTTATGAAGGGAGAAACTCTCCAGGTGATTTTCTACATCTGCGGTAGACACGAAGCAGCGCATCTGACCCCGGAAGTTGTTGTCCGTTGCCGGGAGACGAATGCGGGCAAAACAGGAAAAGAATCCAGTAGTGGACGGACATTGTTCCGGGTCTTCGGTATTTGGCGGAGATGTTAGTGAAGGCGGAGAAGAGGACGAACTAGAGGAAAAACAGGCAGATTCCTCCTCTATTTACAAACTCCTGGGGATGCAACAAGTGGGCGCGGTGCGTCGACTTCCGGATCTGACGTCGACAAATTTTTAGAATCGAGCCGTCGACGTCGTCGAGGCTTCGCTACAGCCCTAGCATACAGGAATTCAGCATGCTGGAAAAGACAGTTGCATGACGAGCAGCCTTCAAAGCAAATTATTTTCTTTTTTGGCTTTAATCCCCTTCAGGTATCGCCACGGCAAATCATCGGTCTGCATTGAGCCCCAGTTCACAGTGACATCTCTAACAAAAACACGGAGCCAGCCAACAGTGAAAGATTCGTTGATAAACACAGAGAAATTGCAGACGAACAGCAAAACGTTGTGGTTTCCCATTCTGCAGCACCTGAGGTGACCACGCTGGTAGCTACAGGTGTTTTTAGATAAAGGTTAGCCTGATGGCTGTGGCGCCACGTGCCTCCCCAATTACGGCAACATGCATCACTCAATAGAGTCGCAAAATGAGGACAAATACAATTTGAAATATGAGATAATTTACTTTTTTACTTTTATGTACATCTGAAAATGTGTACTTTAACCCTCTGATGCATGAATTATGAAATCTTCAACCATGATTTTTAAACAATTTTTTTCATTCATCTTTAGGTGTGAATGAAACAAATTTCAACAAATATTTTTTGTACCATTTTGTTAATTTACAAATAATTTATTACATGTCCATCTCAGTGGACAGCGTGCATTCTGAACATGAAATATGTTGGCTTGGCTTACTGAAGTCCAAATGGAGGGGCTCACATGCAATAAAGTCTTCAACAGCTGTGCTTAATAGCAAAAATAAAGAAATAACAATTTTGAGTACCTGTCCACTGCAGTGACCATTATGCATCAAAGGGTTAAAAAGTTTTTGAATACTTCTACTTTTACTTAAGCAATTTTTTTACCCATTCTGCACTTTTACTAATAAAGTACTTCTTCCACTATTGCCTTAACCTGAAAGGATGTTAACTATTTTAGAATTTTATTAAATGCAATGTAGACATTTAAACAAAATCTTCAGAGTTGTTATGTTTATGTTTATTCATTTAGCAGATGCTTTTATCCAAAGCGACTAACAATGTATAACTTATAGGGCATGTTGTGATCTGTGGGGGAAACTAGAGTACCCGGAGGAAAGCCACGCATGCATGGGGAGAACATGCAACTCCACGCAGAAAGGCTGCACCGAGTTTCGAACCTGCAACCTTCGTGCTGCGAGGCAACAGTGCTAACCACTGAGCCACCATGCAGCCTTTTGAAGTATTGTCATGAAATTTTGATTAATCCAAGATTTTTAGACTATTTACTGAATACGTAATTATAATAATATATTCTGATGGGTGGGTGGGTGGGTGATGAATGGATGGATGTTAGACGAATGGATGGGTGGATGTTGATGGATGGATGGATGGATGTTATATGGATAATGGATGGATGGAAAGATGTTAGATGGGTGGATGGATGGATGTTAGATGGATGATTGATGGATGGGTGGATGGATGTTAGATGGATAACGGATGGATGGATGATGCCTGGATGAATGAATGTTAGATGGATGATAGATGGATGATGGGTGGATGGATAATATTCTATTCTGACGTCACAGAATAACTTCAAAAGTGTTTTGAGTAGTGTGTGTACCTGTGTTTATGTAAACACATTATAAAAAACGAAATTATTCCTCCATAGCTAAAGAGTATGTGACTCCTGGTTTACCCGAGGTTCCTTTAACTCACCATAAACAGCAGGTTTTCTGCAATATTTACCGTCAACAATAAAAGCAGAGTCACATTAAGCTGTATTGTGTTATTGATGCGTGAAATTAAAAGAAATCGTACACCACTGCATGTAAATAGAGTCTAGGATTGTTTATATTTTGAATGTTGTCGCCAAAGTGACTCGGGACAATCCGCTTTTCTCAGCTCCTCCCTCATCTGCGGAGCGAAGCAACAGGCTGTCTGAGAGGGAAATGGTGAAGTTTGATCCTGTATAGCTTATAAAGTACACGAACACACACGTTTTTGACTCACGGTGCATAAAAGATGTCTCACGAGTGGAATTAGACCCGTGAAAGCTTTTTAACTCAAGAGTCATCGCGATAACTCAGACGTCTCGTTATCTTTCCTTTAATTTGCGACTACGAACAAAAGGTTTTTGGGAACGCCGAAATAACATCCTTCCTAAATAATGTAAAGCGAGTTTCTCTGGTGAGATTTACCTTGAAATAATGATTTCCATGAGTGTGGAGTGGCTGCGGTCCCGACGACCAGACAGGCTCCCGGAGGTTCCTCTGAAGTCCCGCAGCTAACGGAGCTCTGGTGGGGCTTAAAGATGGGGCGTTCAGGAACCCGAACCTCGCGTTGGATGTTTTCTCCAACCTGCACTGGGACTGAAGAGCGCCGCTTGCTGGCTGCCCAGGCTCCCAAGAACCAATTCGTCTGTAATCATGACGAAACAGACACACTCGAACAATACAACTTATTCCAACACTGGGTACTTGAATTAAATTATCATTAAGGTATTAATTATAGTACTACTATCACAGCTAGTTATTACAATAGTCTACTGTTATTACAGGGGTCTGCAATCTGGTGCTCTGAAGCCACAAGCAGCTGTTTGGATTTTAATTCAGCATCCTGTAGGAGAAAATCAAATATCCAAACTTTGTGATGAAGATTTTTAAAATATTTTGTTAATTTCTAAACTTTATATTAAAAATCTAATTTGTTGTTTTTATTATGTGATAGCAAATCTTTTATGGTAATAATGTATGGAAAAAGGAAAGTAAAAAAGATTCCTGACTTCATTCCTGAATCTCCGACAAAAAAAAGTCAAACTTATGATTTGAATCTCAAAGTTCTGACACTTATTTCTCAGAATTCTGAGAAATAAGTGAGTACCATAAGTGGCCCTATCTCTTCATAGGTAGGCCTATTTCTCAAATACTAAAACTGTACCAGCTGTGGCTTTAAAAAGTTTTATTCCAGTGGGCCGAAGGTAAAAATGGCGCTCAAATTTAAATTATTTTTCAGTTGAATTCCACCCTAAAACTAGAATTCCAACTCGAGAAGCCACAGCCTCAAAATCCAAAATAGCTACTGGTGCAAGTTGTATCTCAGTAAAGTTGGCAGCCTTGATTCAGTCTCGGCTACTTCTGTCTGATCACTTTTAGTGATGATGTTGCTAAAGTGCATCTATTTAATTTAAGTTAAGTAGCTATATAGCAATTAAATATAGCTATAATTATATAGCCAATATAGCTAATTTGTTTTAGCTAAGTAGCTATGTAGCAATTAGCAGCATAGCTAATTAGTTAGCTAGCCGGCTAATACTTTACAGCACATCCCATTTGTGCTTGGAAGTTACATTTTTTTAAGTTCAAAGTTGAAAAAACAAACAAAGGGAACATCCACAAAAGTTTAAGTTTCAACTCAAGAAAGCTTAAGATCCTTGCCTCCTTCTGCAGGTGACCTGGGCTGCTTTGTCACACCTGGGAACAATCATAATCACACAATGTAAAAACCAGGCCTCTGCAAAGATTCAGTCAGCCAGAGGCTTACAGGTGCTGGCCAGTAAATTAGAATATCATCAAAAGGTTGAAAATATTTCAGTAATTCCATTCAAAACGTGAAACTTGTACATTATATTCATGCAATGCACACAGACCAATGTATTTCCAATGTTCATTACATTTAAATTTGATATTCATAAGTGACAACTAATGAAAACTCCAAATTTGGTATCTCAAAAAATTAGAATATTCTGAAAAGGCTGAATATAGAAGACACCTGCTGCCACTCTAATCAGCTGATTTACTCAAAACACCTGCAAAGGCCTTTAAAAGGTCCCTCAGTCTTGTTTTGAAGGCACCACAATCATGGGGAAGACTTCTGACTTAACAGCTGTCCAAAAGACAATCATTGACACCTTGCACAAGGAGGGCAAGACACAAAAGGTGATTGCTAAAGAAGCTGGCTGTTCGCAGAGCTCTGTGTCCAAGCACATTAACAGACAGGCGAAGGGACGGAAAAAATGTGGTAGAAAAAAGTGTACAAGCTCTAGGGATAACCGCACCCTGCAGAGAATTGTGACGACAAACCCATTCAAAAATGTGGGGGAGATCCACAAAGAGTGGACTGCAGCTGGAGTCAGCGCTTCAAGAACCACCACGAGGAGACTCATGAAAGACATGGGATTCAGGTGTCGCATTCCGTGTGTCAAGCCACTCTTGAACAAGAAACAGCGCAAGAAGCGTCTCGCCTGGGCCAAGGACAAAAAGGACTGGACTGATGCTGAGTGGTCCAAAGTTATGTTTTCTGATGAAAGCAAGTTCTGCATTTCCTTTGGAAATCAAGGACCCAGAGTCTGGAGGAAGAGCGGAGAAGCACAGAATCCACGTTGCATGAGGTCCAGTGTAAAGTTTCCACCGTCAGTGATGGTGTGGGGTGCCATGTCATCTGCCGGTGTTGGCCCACTCTGTTTCCTGAGGTCCAGGGTCAATGCAGCCGTCTACCAGGAAGTTTTAGAGCACTTCATGCTTCCTGCTGCTGACCAACTTTATGGGGATGCAGACTTCACCTTTCAACAGGACTTGGCACCTGCACACAGTGCCAAAACCACCAGCACCTGGTTCAAGGACCATGGTATCCCTGTCCTTGATTGGCCAGCAAACTCGCCTGACCTTAACCCCATAGAAAATCTATGGGGTATTGTGAAGCGGAGGATGCAATACGCTAGACCCAACAATGCAGAGGAGCTGAAGACGACTATCAGAGCAACCTGGGCTCTCATAACACCTGAGCAGTGCCACAGACTGATCGAGTCCATGCCACGCCGCATTACTGCAGTTATTGAGGCAAAAGGAGCCCCGACTAAGTATTGAGTGCTATACATGCACATTCTTTTCATGTTCATTCTTTTCAGTTGGCCAACATTAGAGAAACAAACATTTTTTCATTGGCCTTTAGAATATTCTAATTTTCTGAGATACCAGATTTGATGTTTTCATTGGTTGTCACCTATAAATATCAAAATTAAACGTAATGAACATTGGAAATACATTGGTCTGTGTGCATTGCATGAATATAATGTACAAGTTTCACGTTTTGAATGGAATTACTGAAATATTTTCAACCTTTTGATGATATTCTAATTTACTGGCCAGCACCTGTAGGTCCCATGGTGTGAACACATTCAAAGACAGCTTTTTTCATGTTACAAAGCAACCTTGTGTTGTGTTTGAGTCCATTTGGGAAAAGGCATCTACCTCTAACCCTCATACTTGTACCCTCCCTGCTGCTCCTGGCTTCTCGGCACCTTCAGACCTCATTTGTTCTCTCAGGAACTGGAAAGAAAGAATCGGTAGGGGCATTTCCTTTTTCCTGGCCTAAAACATTTGCACTGTACTAGACGTGGATACTGCTTTTATAGTGTCTTGGAAAGTGAGTAGGCATGGGTTAAATCAGCTACATTTTTTGAGTGCATTCATTGTAACATTGAGAACAACACACATTTGAAGTTCCTTAGGAAAAAAGAATAACAATGCACTGAAATTCTGTACAAACAAAATAACATCTTGAATAATTGATGTTAGCCTATTTTTCATGCTTGTACAGGCAAATGTGTTGGCTAAATTAACCCAAGCCTCCTTCGTGAATCTGATTTTGTTGGTGTTTGACTATGCCAGCTATACTTTTGCTGTTATGTAAATTGTTAAATGGTTGAGTCAGCAACAGTAAAGCCTAAATCTGTTACTTCTACTCCAGACAGAGCGCTTTGTTCTACTACTTTATCTTTATGAGGCAACTCGTTCAGTAATTTTGCTTATCAGCCACAATGGAAGGCACAAGCATATGTAGTACCTCTGTAACAACAGTGTCTTTGTAATGTCAACATGCCTTTCAACTCCATATCTGGGAATATAGTCACTATTTAATCAAATTTGATATGTGTCATTAATGATAAATTTCTGACAATGACAGTCACACACTCTTGCCCTCATGCTCACGCATGACACATACGCCCTAAAGACTTACAAGAATGTATGTCAGTAGCTGCTGACAAGTAACTTAGCTATTAAAATTTGTGATTGCTAAATCAGTTGGCTGGGATGGCCATCTTGAATTGGACTGACTTCCAAAAGCAACGGATTGCAGATGAACATCCTAAAAAATTTCTTTGGTAAGTTTAAAATTTTCATTGTAATTCTGCTAATACACAGAAGACTGACGAGAAAATAAGACCTCAACCAATCAGTTACTACTCCAACTACGTATTGAGAATGACCCTTTTTTTAACCACATCACCAATTTGAGCCTGTAAATTTGGCTGATTGACTCAAAGTTGATCGTGCGCTGTGGAGAATTTTTAGAATCATCAAATGAAGAGAAATCAGCAATACACTGATCAGTCGGGTGAATTTTAGTTTTTAGTGGGGTACATTTTTTTAGTCAGTATTCAGATGTGCTAACCATACATCACCACTAGGGGATACCAAATTACCATCCTTATGTGTCACACAAGTTGAACCCAATGGACCTGGGACTGTGTATGCAAGCTCTTCCAGCACAAAGTTGTTCCAAAAACATATTTGACGTTCACCAATATACTGTATGTAAACTGCACACATCTGTAACAGGAAGAGTTAAGGATGGATTGATGTTGGATGGATGGATGGATGGATGGATGGATTGATTAATGGATGTTAGATGGATGATTGATGGATGGATGAACGAAATGTTAGATGGATAAATAGAATTCACATTTTCTACCTCAGCAGCACCCAATGACAATAAGCCGCTAAATGAAAAGGTCGTAAAAAGACACCAAATACACGTCGAGAAAAACACAAAATAGTGACAATGCAATATGATCCTACTCACAGAAGCAGGTGTTTAAATTAAAACACAGACTCTCCTCTTAAACAATACAAATACCAATACTCTTGCGTAACTCAAGGAGCAATGCTGCAGCAAAACGAAGCTTATTTCATGAAGTCAAAAACATAAATTCAGTCTTACTTTAGCTGGTTTATGATTAATGACTTGTGTTATAGTCCCAAAACATCCACTGGGTTTGTCACTGGCAGAATAAATCGGAGCCTGGTTGGGGCGATGCAAATGACCGGGCCCTTTAAACCCATAAAGGCCATAACATGATTTTAGCTGTGGCACCCTGTATGTACCGTAATTTCCGTACTATAGAACGCACCTCAATAAAAGCCACACCAGCAAAAAAAAAAAAAAGGTTTTCTGCACACACACCACACTCAAATACAAGCTGCGGCGCAGCAGCCACACGCAGGTCTCTGGCGCACAGCGCATGTACGGCCATAACATAAGATAATTAGACAGAAAGACGCTACACGGAGGTTTTTCGTTGTTGT